CGTGTCGTGACTGTGGACAGATGTCTTGTGAGGGACGTACTAACGGATATGCAGACACACAATGTGTTCATACTTTCAGGTTGAATATGTAGCATATAAATTTCTGAGCATGTAAAAAGATTCTGATATACAGTGGCAGCAAAAAAAAATGAGCGCAGTCGTTTGGGCCTATTTTTAGGTCATATCACTTCAAATAAAATGCTAGCACCATTGTCATGTAATTTTAGGAGTTCTTCCACCATTTAACATATATCATACCTGTATTGTTGGCTCAAAATAAATTATTTCACTGTTTTCTGAAAAATCAAGTCTGTGGATGCAGGGTGTATGCAAAAATGGTGCACATAGCATGAAACTACTGACCAGTTCAATATTTTATTTGAGTGAAATTGATGCGGATTTGGCTCACAATCCTCGCTGCAAGCTGGCCATTTTGACTAAAAATGGCTGAAAATGGCCCAAAATACGAAAAATGACCGTTTTGTGATGGCCATTGCAAGCCCAAATCCGTATCAATTCCATTCAACTAAAATATAAAAATGGTAGTGTTTTCAAGGAGTTTCATGCTATGTGCACCATTTTTGCATATACCCTGCATCCACAGACTCGATTTTTCAGAAAACGGTAAAATAATTTATTTTGAGCCAACGATACCGGTACCATATATGTTAAACGGCGCAGTAATTCTTGAAACTACGGGATAATGGTGCTAGCATTTTTTTTGAAGTGATTTGATCTAAAAATAGGGCCAAACGACCGCGCTCATTCTTTTTCGCTGCCACTGTATATTTAATTAATTTTGAATGGAGAATGTAAATTTAAATTTGTTGAGCCATTTGGATATTTACTAGACACATAATGCAAATATGTTGTGATTAGATCTAGACCATAGGTCAGGTATTGAGCGAGATTGCAATAAAGCAAGATGTGCCGGCTATACTGATCAAGCCCGGAAATCGCCGAAATGTCTGATATGCATCTGATCAACCAAATCGGGTTGCTTCTCTAATGGGAAGCAACCCGTTTTGGTCGCTTCTCTATTAGGAAGCGACCAAATTGGGTTGATCCCTATTATGGGAATTTGATGCCCACAAACACCGCTACCGAGCCCTCGGCTCAACTACCTGCATTGGCATCCATCACTACGCATCAGATTCATTCCACTCACACACATCATTGGCATCTTTTTTTTCCCCATCTAATCCATTGTACGCGTGTTTCGTAGCTATATATAAATAATCCACCCTACATCCCATACCTTACATTATTGGTTGTTCTATCGTCTCTGTACTAGCCTACATACTATTCAAGGAGGGAGAAGCAGCAGAAGACATGAAATATTTTTGTATTTTTGGCGCACACACACACACACAACACACCATTTCCGATTTCTTTTTTGGAAATTTGTTTTAGCGGGAACAGTGTTAATGAAGTATGGTGTCGTTCCGAGGGTCCGAAAATGAGATATAAGGGCATGCCGGGCGAGGTGGGTATGCACGGGAGGGCGGGGTGGTATTATTATTAAGGCGCGACGCGTCGCGTTTAGTGTGGGCGGACATCGCTACGCTCCGGTGACGGGAAAGAACACACTTTTCAGCCAATCAGATAATCTAAGAGGTCTCGATCCAAGCTAGCAAATAACCTCTATTGTGACCGGGCATGAATCATGAATCAATTTAGTTATTCACACGTACATGCTGCAACTATTATTACCCGAGCCATGTTAAGTTATTGATTTATTTCGGAATGTAGCGAGAGCACAGTGTGTGGTAATGGTGGGATAGGAAAATGAAGTTGGATATGAAGAAACAAATGGGACAGGTGCTCAGAAATACCAGCATTGTTGAAGATAGGTGTTTGGCATGGACTTGGGGAGTCGATTCCATAGAAGTTTGCCCAGTCGGAACAGCGTGGATCATTGAAATAGGCACAAAAGAGAGAAGGGAAGGCTGGAGAATCCAGAAAAACACAGAGCACAGGTGACGGAATCTTGCGCGTGGTCTTGCTTGTAGCTCCAGGGGATAGTTGTAATTGTTCAGCCCGAGAGACATTGTGAATCTTGATATAGTTTGGAAGGCGGTCCACGCTCAGGTTGCGCAAGAATAAATCCAGAACAGAAACCATGTGGGGGTGAGGCAAGAGTGAGGGCAATTAGTGGACGGCAGATTGTTGAAGCCAGTCAAGACTCACTGATGCTTTTATAGCATGTGGCATGTGGGATATTTACGTAGATACGTGGCCAGAATGTGGCCGCAGTAAGTTCTTCCGTGGTGCAGCACTCGGAGCGGAATTCTGTCTTACGCGTCGTTGTGGCACGTCCGAAACGGGCGACCTTGAGCTGCGGTAAAGGTGAGTCAAGTCTTTTCAAGCTGTGCCGTGGGTGAAGGCGGAGCTGAATGGGGAAGCGATGTAGCCTTGCTGCGCGTTGTGGGAGCCCAAAGTGTGAAAGACAGAGCATCAGAGAGGAAAAACAGCGGCAATGGAGATAAGCCGCAAAGGGATGCGCACAAACATCCCCCAACGAATACCATAGCTTCATTTATTCTGCGACTTGCACTTGGTAGATGTTTTTAATCCTAATTCTAGCGACAGCGTACATCGTGAGTGCGCACAAGTCGGGATCTGTCGAGCCTCGGAATATTTTATTCAGGTTGAACAATGCGGGCATGAATCACTAAAAATCTGACAACACCTCCTACCCAGCCTTAAAAGCATCTGCGTCCGTTGAGGACCCAACCTTTCGATAATTCGAGAATGTCCCGATCCACTCGGGGTGGATGCATTTGCGAGCAAACCCAAATACTCACATTTTTTCCCACCGTGCGGCACATCGAGCGCCGAAGTTCACCCAGATTTTTCTCAGAAGCACTAGGGGTGAACGCAGGTGGATTTGCTACCACTGGACTTCTATAAAACACCAAGGGTGGGAGATGCACGCCATGTGCGACTGGGTAGGACCGGTAGGTCTTGTTCGTCCCGATTGAAACTCTATGTGACACCCGCTCCACGGCACCTATTCCTATAAAACAAGCTCTGGTTCGACTTCCGCCCTTCAATCATTGATGAAGCCGTTCAACTTCAAGAGAGCTTTTTACTGGCCTCATGCTACTGTCACAAAATGGACACATTATGCAAGATATTATCTCTGCCCCTGGGGCCCCTCTAATCTGACTTGGTATTCAGCTTTTACAACAGCTTTGAAGACAAAAATCGGCTGGTTTGCATTCCATCCCGTAGCGAATCTCTTTGCGCCGTTCATTTTAGCTGGATTATTCGAAGAACTGCAAAGGATTTTCTTGGATACCACAATTTCAGCGAGTGGATATTACTTATTTCTTACCTCCAGACACATTGTCCAGTGCAATTTGAATGCAATTATTTCCCTGTTTCTCCGGTGTTCAGTGCGATAATCCTCCTTTCTCTTCCTTACTTTATTTTCTTCCTGCGGCACTTGGCTATCGGACGGGCGGAGCCGCGGAATCGCCGTTATCCTCCAGCTCAAACGAGGTTTCTTCATCCTTTAAGCTGGCCATTTTTTAGAATTTCATGAGCATTGTAATTTCGGGAACAACCGTAGTCTTCAAATTAAGCGTCACATTATTGAAGCCCTTGCCGTAGCGTAGCAAAGGCACATCTTGTCTTTAGGAAGCAATTTGTGTCCCGAATTTTGCACGGTGGTGTCCGTCTTGGCGGTCTTTGAAGACTCTGTCGATAGGACAGTGTCAGATTGTGGCCCGGCCCTTCTCGCAGAGTTGGTCACTTCTGCCCAACATCGAAGATATATAAGCCTTGTCTTGCCCGATTGCTGTATTTAGTTGAGTTGAAATGGACAAAAAGAACAACGGACATAAGAATTCTCCCGAATTATTGCTGACGTCGCAATGAACGGAGATGCACACCGTGTGCTACTGGGTCTTGTTCCACTTATTTCGATGCCGCATATATTTTGGCGATCTCACCGACCGGTTTTAAAAAAAAGCAGCCTTTGTGTCAAATGCTGATGACCCAGCCTGGAGTCGAACCAAGGCCTTCTCCCTAGTCTCGTATACAAACACGCTATGAAGGGAGATGCACACCGTGTACTATTGGGCCTTATTCCCCTTCTATATACCCTCTATTTACTTGAGCGATTTTACTGCGGTTTTCTCAAAAAATTGCACCCCGGCGGATTGACCATGACCCAGCCTGGAATCGAACCAGGTACTTTCCACATCTGACGTTACATGGCAATGGACACACCACGTGCTACTGGGTCTTGTTACCCTCTTTTCGACCCTTTATTTAAATCGGTGATTTTGTGCTACTTATTGAAAAGAAAAAAACGCATTTGGGCAGCCGTATGACCCAGAGTCAAATACTATCCCCTAACAACGGGCAGATCCACACCGTGTGCAACTGGGTCTTATTATTCATATTTTTGAACATCTATTTGTAGGAATCATCTGTTAGCTGGAAAATAAAAAAAACGGTGACCACGATGTTATGGCCCAGCCGGGAGTCGAACCAGGATCTTCTCCACATCATGTCTCCATGTCACCGCCCGGTGCCTAGGGAGAGGAGATGCACACCGTGTGCTACTGGGTCTTGTTCCTCTTATTTCAAACCTGTATTTATTTTGGTGATTTCATGTGCTGAATATAAAAAAGTCATCTGAACACGCCCATCACCCAGCGTGGATTCGAACCAGGGACCTTATCCATAATCACATTCCAGAACATTTCTAAAGGAGAAGAGATGCACACCGTGTGCTACTGGGTTTTGTTCCCCTTCTTCCTGCCTTGTATTTAAATCGAAGATTTCGTCATGGGCAAAAAAGCAGAAACAATGGTCACCGCCTACTCTGGATTCAAACGAAGGACTTCTCCGAATGTGTGGACTATGCTGATTGTAGGAGATGGACACCGCGTGCTACTGGGTTTTATTGCATTTATTTTGATGCTGTATTTATTCCAGTGCCTTCATCATGGTTGAGAAAGAAAAAGTCAGAAGATCAAACTTTATGACCCAGCCTGGATTTGAACCAAGGACTTCTCCAAACATGTGGACCATGCTAATGGTAGGAGATGCACACCGTGTGCTACTGTGTCTTATTGCACTTATTTCGATACTGTATTTCCTTCAGTGCATTTGCCATGGTTGAAAAAAAAAAGGGATGTTGCAGTGAACACCACTATTATGACCCAGCCTGGAGTCAAACCAGGGACCTTTTCCACTGGACTTGTAGAAAACCCAAAGGGTGGGAGATGCACACCGTGTGCTACCAGGTCTTATTTCCCTTCTTTCTAACCTGCATTTATTTGAGCAATTTCGCCATGGTCAAAAAAATAAAGAGATCAAGTGGGGCCAGTGAGCCAGCCTGGAGTCAAACCAGGGCCTTCGCCTCCACATGTGCGCACTTTGTCAATGGTGGGAGATGCACACCGTGTGCTACTGGGCCTTGTTCCTCTTATTTCGGTGCTGTATTTATTCCAGTGCCTTCATCAGAGTTGAGAAAGAAAAAGTAAGAAGATCAAACTTTATGACCCAGCCTGGAGTCGAACCAGGGACTTCTCCTGAATCTGTTGCAATTGCCAGTGCCGACTTCGCAAAGAAAGAAGACGCACACCGCGTGCTACTGGGTCTTGTTCCCCTTCTTTCCATCATGTATTTTTCCAAGCCAAGCCATTGAACCAAAAGAAAACAAATTGGTGCGGCGGCTTTATGACCCCGCCTGGATTCGAATCAAGGGCTTCTAAGTTCTCCACATTGCATCCCACATAGTACAAGGTATGGAGATGCACACCATGCACTACTGGATCTTGCTCCTCTTCTTTCAATGCTGTATTTAAATTGGTGTCTTCGACAAAAAGAAAGGAGAAGTCATTCCTTATAGATGACCTAGCCCGGAGTCGAACCAGGGACTTCTCCTCTTGAAGTGCGAAAAACGTTGAATAGTGGGAGTGCACACCGCGTGCTACCAGGTCTTATTTCTCTTCTTTCTAACCTATATTTATTTGAGCAATTTCGCCACAGTCCAAAAAAATAGTCGAGAACAAGCCCCATGAGTCATGACCCAGCCTGGAGCTGAACCAGGGAGGTCTCCTGAGTGACTACGAATATTGTAGTGGTAGGAGAGACAAACCGTGTGCTACTGGGTCTTATTGCACTTAATTCAGTGCTGTATTTATTTTAGCGATCTCATGGAGGTTTTAAAAAAAAAGCAACCTGTGCAGTGACAAATGCCACATGACCCAGCCTCGAACTCGGGTCTTCTCCAGAATTCCTACAAACAGGTCTACTAATGATTGGAGATGCACCCCGTGTGCTATGGGTCTTGTTCCATTTCTTTCGATGGCTGTATTCCTCTGACTTCAGTTCAAAAAAAAAAAGGAATTTAAGACAGAAAATGACCCAGCCTGGATTTGAACCAGGGACTTCTCCTGATTCTTACTTGATTGTGCCAAACGAAGGGGAGATGAACACCGCGTGCTACTGGGTCTTGTTACCCTCTTTTTGATCCTTTATTTAAATCGCTGATTTTGTGCTACTTATTGAAAAAAAAAAGCGCACTTGGGACAGCCGTATGACCCAGCCGAGTCGAAGCAGGACCTTCTGCATCAGAAGGGGTGCTCAATTCTTAAGCCGTGGCGTCGTGTCGTGGCTTTATTTGTCCGAAACAAATAGAATTTAACTCCGCCAGGTGAACGCAAATAGTTCCGCTCTTTTGCCTTATATTGCCCTCAGAATGGGTCGCATTCTATCTCATAAATTGTTATCATGGCGTGTATACATTTGGTTCAATTGTTATGAGAAGCTATATGCAGATTTAGCACTTGCAATTGTGTAATAGGGGTGCTCAATTGTAAATCCGAACGGGTTCAGTTCAGATTTTTATTAAATAAATACATGTACAAAGTGATCGAATCAAACTCGGCATCGGCATCCTAATTAGGATAATCCGTGAGGCCTACTACCAAGGCGCAGACTCAATCGGACGCCATCTACATAGCAGAGGGCCTGCTTTCAGCCTCAATTATACTGGAGGACGATCCAGAGCTCGATTTATTCAGTGATCAAGATGAATTCGAGGCATATGCTCTGGCGGCTGACATTTCCGACTTTCTTGATCTCTCTGCACTCAACTGGATGGAGATTGCCCAAGCAATGACAGGGGACTTGCGAGGCACATATGATCAAATCCAAAAGTCGCTGGATTTTTCCTCTGTCTGCTTATGTACAAGCACATCAAGGTATATTATATATTGTGTGCCGATGCCGAGTTTGATTTGATCAATTTGTACATGTATTTCTTGAATAAAAATCCGAACTGAACCCGTTCGGATTTACAATTGAGCACCCCTAATGATTTGGAGCAAAACCATAGTTATTGACACCTTATAATATTTTTTTCTTACCACCTATACTTACTCACATATCACTATAGAGTCACTTGGACAGTGATCATGATTTTTAGGACTGGAATAATTCTGTACAGAACCAGAAATGGGTGTTCGGTTTTGGTGGAGTTTGAATTCTATTTGTTTCAGACAAATAAAGCCATGACACAATGTCATGGTTTAAGAATTGAACACCCCTAGAGTCAAATACTATCGTGCTACTGGGTTGTTATCCATGTTTGAACCTCTATTTGTAGGAATTATCTGTTAGCTGGAAAATAAAAAGACGGTGGGCACTACGTATGTCCCAGCCTGGAGTCGAACCAGGGTCTTCTCCACATCATCTCTCCGATCCAAAGCGTAGGGAGAGGAGATGCACACCGCGTGCTACTGGGTCTTATATCCCTTCCATCTACCCTCTATTTATTTCAGCAGCTGTGGACTCCTCAACGATCCCCCATCACTTGTTCAACAAATAAAAAGTTATCTTGAAAGTGAAAATGGCCCAGCCAGGATTTGAACCAGCATCACATTGAATATATATGAAGTAGAGTCGATGCATACAATGTGCTACTGGGTCTTGTTTCTCTTCTTCCTGGGCCGCATTTATTTTAGTGCCTTCACTAAAAGAAAAGAAAAGAAAAAGACAGAAAAAGACATGGAATGTAAATGACCCATCCTGCAGTCGAATCAGATGCGCACCCCGTGCTACTTGGTCTCATTTCTGTTCTTTCTAACTGGTATTTAAATCAGTGATTTTGTGCTACTCAGAAAAAAGTTCATCGAGCCTAAAGAATGACTTGGGGTAAAGGGCCGTGGCGGGGCCCGGCATGCAAACTCGTACTTCCTTTTTTCAAAAAAAGGAGACAGTTTAGTTATCATGACCGGCCTAAAATTGAAAAGAAGGATATTCTAAATAACAACTTATCTGTCATCAGATAATAGTATAAGTCTACTCTTAATCCAGTGTTGATCCTGTTTCCCGACCTCGTATAGCCCATTTATGTGGTGGGTGCCTCTTGCACGATGAGTGTGAGGACTGTGACGATGGGAACATACGAAGGCGCAATGAATAAATAAAAAAATGAGTCTCGCTTTTAAATAACAGTATATGGGGGTATGTATCAGACCTTAAGGTGGTGGGCGGGAAGCAGGCGGGATTTGCGGAGAGCGGATCATGGATCGCGGAAAGGAGCCCGATTATTGATGGGCAGCTAAGGCGGATCAAAAGCGATGCATTATATTCCAAATCACCTCTGATTCTTTTATTACTGGCTCAAAAACACGAACATATATTCGGATTCTGCATGTGGAGAGAAAGGCCTGGTAGAACGGTGCACTCCTACAATATATTGCCAATCTTCAAGAAGTTCAGTGGGGGGTACCTTGAGGGATTTGAGGCTTTGAATGTGTACTCGCATTTCGTGAATGGCTAGCTAGGAATGTGCAGGATGTTGCAAGGAAGGGCTATGGTGCCATTTTATTCCAGCTACCTTCAAGTTTGCTTTATTTTAGTCTCGTTTTATCAGCAATTCTTGTCACAGACTATCTCCCTGGACCGCCACACATCTAATGTTACAAGACTATTCTATTGCATTCTCACATTGTCCATGGAGCACGTGGACCATCCCAATACTCCCATAAAACAAAAACGACTATCTGACAACATGACTGGACCCCGGGTCGAACGGGCGGTTTTACAACACTAAAGCATCAAAATCAGACTACCATGTGCAGGTGCGAGCCCCACCGCTATCCAGTCAATTTCGACGTTGGCTAGATGCGAATTTGGGTCAATCAGTCATTTTTCATTTATGATGGATAGGAATATTGGGAGAATAGCTAAGCTAAGTCGTGGACATGTAAACAAATCGGGTGACAAAAAATTGGTAATAAAATTCAAAACTTGTGCGCAAGGCGGTTAATGGCTCGACCCCGAGTCGAACAGGTGCCCCGGAAGGATATTGGAGGAACTGATGCAAATATTATAATGTGCCGGCGCGGTCCACACCAGTTCTGCTGATTATTTTGGTAAAAAGAACACCGAGAGGTATACTAGAAGCCAGGTGAGCATATTCATATAAGTATTTCGCGATCGCGGCCGGGCTGAACGAACCAGAAACCAGGAACCTTGTGAAACGTTTGTGACGGATGCATGAACCGTAGTGGTTGTCCTCAGTCAGAAAAAAAAATGGCATAAATATGGAAGAAGAATAAGGCGGGCTTCAAGTAGAGATAAGCCTTCCTGGATCATGGCAATCATCCCAAATCCATGGTAAAAATATGGTCCGCAATAAGAAGAAGGGGGTTCGATTCCCCTCAAAGGCCTAAGCGGCTGCGCCGCGAGCTGTCTTTTTCTGCCGTGGAACCAGAAAAGAATTCACTATTGTGATCGCATTTTTTGCAATATAAAAAATGAAGCGCACCCAAATTGAGCATGAGCAGTATTATCCCGCTCACCGAAAAGCAACGGAACAACCCGGCTGCTATTTCAGGCCGTCATCGCCTAGCCAAACAACCCCAAATCCTCCTCATCTGTCTCCTCTCTCGCCTCGCTGCTTCTCGCCTCTCTGGCTCAACGGTCTACTCGGCAGTGTACCCACCAGCAGCGCATCGCCTCTCTGCAGAAGAGCTCTACGGGCCACGGACACTGGTGCGTTACTTGGTGAGTACAGGGACTTCAAATACATCGGCAGTATACGGTACTGACACATGATAACGAGGGCGCACGTACGCAGTGCGCGCTATCAACGAGGACATCTTACCTGACTATGCCACTCCAGTCTGCTGGTTTCTGCGCGCTGTCCGCGACCCCTGCACTACTCCGCGGAGAACATCCCGCTCGTTTTCCCAGCACCCCGAACGTGCACCCGACTTTTCTGGACGGCGTTTCGCCCCCTGCTTCCCTTCCTCGTCTTCCCGTCCTCCTACTCTCTGCACATCGCCGCCCTGCACATCGCCGCCCTTGCCCGCCCCGCCCCGCACGCCACCCGCGCTCATCACGAACCCCGCCGATCCCGCGGATGCGTACGCGTGCATCGGCGCGCACTGGAAGGACGCTACACGTACAATAAAGCGATTCGGCATCTTCGGGGCATGCAGCCATGGGTGAGTCGTCTCTGTATCTTTTTTTTGCCGTTTTTGTGGAGTTTCTGTTTTTTTCTACATACTTTTTCTTCCTGCTTGTTCGTCGGCCGTATTTCTCACTGTGTGGGTGTTCCTTCCCTCCCACTTTCTTTATCCTC